AATGAAGCTTAATTTGAAATTAATTTAGTGTAGCTATGTGCAGTTATCTGGTTATCACTTGAGAATTAAACTTGACTTCGAAGGTTAGGTTAGATTTCTCTTTTCCGCCGTTCAATTTCACTTTCGTGCAATCTTGGAAATCTCTTCAAGTGCTTGTATTTATTTTTACTCGGTTTTCCTCTTTTTTTGTCGCGTCACATCGTGATTGTGTATAAAATCGACGATGCATACTACATGACTCAAAGGTCGAACACTTTAAAAGCCGCGCAATAGAAGTCTTCCATAATTGATCGTATTATGATATGAAAAATGTTGCTTAATTATATTGTTCTAAAAAATTTTTGTTTTTTTTTTCTTAGTACAAAAAAGCAGGAAATCGTGCGAGAAAATTGATTTGAAGCTTACTTTGAAATAAGAAATGTTTGAACATGTTCTCTATTGATTTTGTACAAATATTTGTTTCTCAATAATCTTGGTACATACTTAAATTCCTGTTTACCGTGATATCGATTACATCGTCATACCTCTCTATTCTTGTTGGCCTACGAAACAAATTGTAACGACGTACGAACGATTCCTATTGTAGCTAAAAAAAATTATCGACTCTATCGATTTTTCTTTTCTCCTGCGTTCTTATTTTATTCTATTTAAGTTGATAATTATCATATTACAGTATCTCTCTCTCTCTCTCTCTCTCTCGTAATTACCAACGTTGCAATTTATATTATCAGCGTTTCTTTGCGCAATAACCGGAGGAAAACTACTATATTTCCATTTTTCTGTCTCGTTTATTTCTCTTTTTATTTCACTTTTGTCATTTATCGAGACTTGTCCGTCTACGATTGTATATGACCGATATACTTACTCCACTTCGCTTTGGTATGCACTAACCTGTTATTCCGTGATATGCAGCGTGAGCAAAATCAATCACTTGTCCGATCGATAGCTACGCGAGAGAAAAAACGTTAATACTCGATAGTTAATTTCTTCTGCCTTTTTTTTATGTTTTTCGGATAATACATGGAATTGAAATGTTAGAAGAATATCCAAAGAACATTCGCCGATTAGCATTCGTTCGTTGGAAAGTTATCGACAACTATCAAGCTGTTTAAAAATTGTAATTTACGTGGCCGATGTATGTGCATATCATTTCTGAGCCTATGTTTTTCCATTTTACGACCTGTATTTACAACGACACAACTATGAACCAACATCGATGGCGGAACAATTGTTACAGCACACATAGATGACTATCAGTCGGGTGGATAACTCTAAATATTTGTTATTACGAGAGAAGATGGGAAATTTATTTTACTGCAATTAACAAGAATGAACGTGATTGTATACTTAGTTACAGTTTTTGTAGATGCGCCTAGATTTTTATAGATGTTCGTTAATTCTATCGGTGCGTTCTAAGAAGAATATTTTATATTATCGAAAAGATATCACTCGAAATAATTAAAGGACAATTTTATTATTAGACTAACGTGCTATTTACGATATTGGAATAAACCAGCCTCTAACGTCTATGCGAATAAGTTTTTTTCTAGAACGATTCAAAGAACAAAGTCTAAGTAAAGATCGACGTTTTATTCCGAGTAAGAATATCTTTGCATATATTTCATTCTTAAATCTTCACATCGCGATGTTAAAATGATCGAGCATTTACGTTGAAAACGAATGGCCACGAAGATCGGACACGAAAAATTGGGAAATCATCGTGAACGAGAAACAAATGAAATGGAACTACAAAGTTAAATACGGAGATTTGTTATCTGGCGAGATATCGAGCGAGATAACAATAGGTCAATGCCATTTGTCGGGACCGTTTTTGTACGTCGATTTTTCATCTCTCCCTTAACTTGATTCCGGCTTTGCTTCGCCCAACTTTCATTCGTTGAAAATCGGCTTCAAAGACCTAGAATACTTGGAGATCTCCTTTGGCAACGAGCTGAACCGAAGAAAGTTGAAGCAAAATCGGGACGATATTTTCAAGAGCATCGCGGCGTCTGTGATTCCAATGAAGATCCATGTTTAAGTCGAGTTAAACAGACCCGAACAGATGTTCGCGTTATTAGTTTCCACTTCTTTCCGTTTCGTTCTTTCCTTTTTTTTTTTTTTTTTTCAAGTTTTGCCAATGAGATTGTGATAGTGTTGTGTCAGTAACACACTTGAGAATTCTTATGAAAGAAAAATGAGTGAGCAAACGGACGATGTTTCACGATCTGAAGCGACGATCAACACTTTTAAAATTAATCTTAAATATTCTTTAAATTGACTCGGTAAGCAAATTCAATGAAGAGGCAAATAAGACGATGCATTAAATTTGGCAGATGTTACTTAAGAAATCGTTACGAACGTCCGTGGTATGCGACGAGTATGAATTAGATTAGTGAAATGTATGACCTGTGTATGGATGTGGCGTGGCGTGATGAGCGAACAAGGGTCGAGCGACTGCTCACGTTAGATTATTTGCTACAGTGATTCTGACAATAATGCATATATGGAATGCGTGCTGCATGGGTATCATGTAGAAAACGTGACAAAGTACTTGTGGGCCCTTCGAGAAGACGATTTGGTCGATCAAGATTCCGACAGTTGTCGTTCGAAAGTCGTATGCGAAGAGTTTTCCAGTAGTTAGATTCGTCAAAAATCACGGTTTAAAATTTGCAAGTACATAGAATACAGTATCATACAAGTGATTCAACACATTGCGGATATAATATTATATATTATAATTATATATATTATTATTATTATATAATATTATATTATATAATTTTTCAAGAAGTAGAAAATGTTTCCTAACACACCAAGAAACGTTACTAGAGATATTTTATTTAATAAAACACCTCTAAAGTAAAAAATAATTAATAACTATAATTATTAACAAAATAATACACTTGTTAAATGCTATACATTCTCTGGAACCCTTTCAGTCATATACTAAATAATTCAAAAAAATGCGAGAAAATACAGGCTATATGCCTGGTTATCAGAGCATACCGTCCTCAATGTGTAAAATAAATAATAGTAAAAATCTAAAATACACAATAAATAGATTCTTAAATATTGTATACTGTAAAGAATATATAGTAATATTTAAGAACATTTTATCAATGTGAATTAAAAGAGGTGCATACATGCATTGTACAAAATTGCTACAAAAATGTGCGGGCCCCAGGAGCAGTTCGGGCTCGCCGAGTGTGGTATACAATGTGTTTTAACAAAACTGCGTTTTAAATTTCATTAATCTCTCCGAGTAATTCGAATATCTCCGAGAACACGAATCTTTTCACACACACACGTGCGCGCGTCATTCTCCGTATGACGGAGATGATTACGCCGGGTTCGCCAAATCGCGGCCGTAAATCTAGAAAACGAGATCAGTCTACGATTCTACGATCTATTATTAAAAGTCGAACGTGTACGTGTTGAATTTATTCTTGGACGCCGGCGTCGAGGCGGATCTCCGCGTGCACAGATTTCATTAATTACCATCCGCGTCGCGGTGTGTGCCCCCCTCTTGCCGAGTCGTCGCGATACAAGGTGACACACACACCGCAGCACGTCATCAAGGTTTCACCGATATTCACCGATTGCAGGATACTGCCAACTCTCTATCTCTATCTCTCTCTATCTCTCTCTCTCTCGCGAGCTTCTCCGCCGCCGGTCTGACCGCTGCTCATCAGCTGGCCACCACCACACGCAGCAGGATATTTCTAGTCGGCTGGCATGTTCGAGTTAGTGCTCGCCAAGGCACCTGTGCGTGTCGGTGCTGCCTTGGTTCGGCTCGCGGATACGCCGATTCTCGTCGTTCCCGATCGACGAGAGAAGAAAAAGAGGCGAAGCTACTCGTCGGGTCGCGAAGCAGACGAGCAAACATGAGCGAGACGGGGAAGACGTCCGCTGGAAGCTTGAAAAGGCAGCAAGATGAGCAGCCGAGCAGGCCCAGGGAGCCGATCAGGCCACCGAGGACCAGGACGACGCAACAGGCTCGCCACAATGCGGCAGCTATCGATCGACGGGAGAATCGCGGTGCGCCCGGTTCGACCAGCGTGAAACCAGCTTAAACAGCGAGAGCCGAGAGAGGGCTTACGCTTTAATCGTATTCGAAAGTTTGATTGCCGGCGGGGAATTGGTTATTTTGTCAGAAATCTGAAGGAAGACGGGGACGATCTCGCCCGTGCCACGGGCCCACCGCCCGGGCGAAATCGTCGATCGAGATTTAATTTCGAAAATGAGGAACGCGCGCGGCGAGAGCTTTTGGTACGGGACGAGATATCATCGGGGATTTGCTGAATGTTTGCTCGTTGGGAAAGGGGATTGGCTTGTTGTCAAATGTTGTCTGGGAATGCGCAGCGAATACCAGAAATCCGCTGATCCCGGATCCGTAATCGATAGATCCTGAAAATCGCGAGAGTTTCTCGAGCAAACTATGAGTATTTTGATATTATCGACAATGGCCAAAGTATGATGAGAAATATTTATGTAGTCGAGCGCGATTGAATTCGATTCGTTCAAGCGTTTGGAGAGAAAAAAAAAAAAAAAAAGAAACGGGCGGATTTTGCAAATGAAGCTGAGAACGCGAGACCGCAGCTAGAATTTGGTTTTAATTGAATGTGAGAGAGTTTGGTCATGGAAATTGGCGCGTTTCCAAAACCTCGGGAACGCAACAGATTTGCGGCAATGAAACTCCGCTTTACCGGAACGCCAGACCTTCGAAGTTCATTGTGGTGCTAAACGAACGATCATGTATAAACGTACAAGTATAAACGTTCGTCTTGAAGCACGTAGCAGCTCGTTTTTAATTTTATTTACGAATCTCTCGATGATCGTTGCAACGTTTCGTGGCAAATCTTTCGTGGCTGTTGCCTTTACTGTTTTCGTTGGTTCCGTTGCAACGTTGACGATTCGTTTCCAGAGATTGCTTGCAAAGAAACTGTACGTACATACATAGGTAAAATAGGCTAAACGTGCGTTTAAAAATTTGCTTTCAGTCAAGAAAGTTCCGATGACGACCCTCGATGAGAACGTGAACCGTGTTCCACGGGTATACACAAACGAACGAGTAGAGGAAGGTGAGTTTCTTTCTCTTTCATTTAATTGCTTGGCACATATTCTTCTTCTTCTTCCTCTTCTTCTTCTTTTTCTTAATACAGTTTCAGAGACAAACGATTCTCTTTTCATTTTTAATTGCGATCATTCAAAGTAAAGTGGATATATCTCCTGAAGCATAATTATTATTTTTTTTTTTTTTCTTTTTTTTTTTGCCTGCTTTTTTACGTCCAGTGGAAAATGCAATGTCACGGCAAGAAATTTGCAACGTGGAAAGAAAATGCACGTAATAATAGTGTGATTGATTGTGCTCGTGTGTTGAATTCATAAGCATAGTAACATTCTGCAGTTCTTTTTTTTTTTTTTTTTTTTTTTTTTTATTAGTAACGTAGGTAGATTTACCTCTTCGTACTTATGCAACCTGAATCAGTTTTCTCACTTGTCGTTGTTCGCACGATCTTCGAATCAAAGTTGTCGATACAGAATATCTCCGTGATTGTTACTTTCGAATTGTTTTCACTCGCAGAAATATTGGATTTTCACCGCGTTGCGAATGCTGACGCTTTTCAAGAAACGCGTTGAGATGGAGGAAAAGAGAATTTTATAATCTCATAAAAAGCATCGTACATGCAATTTCTAATTTCTTGAAATTATCATTCCAATTTTTATTTATTATTAAAAATTTTTAAATTATTATTCCAATTTTATTTATTATTAAAAATTTAAAAATTATTCCAATTTCATTTATTATTAAAAATTGTTTAACTTAAATGATCGTGATGGCTCCAATTCGTGGTTCGCGTACACACTTGAAACGTCTCGGTTTCTTTACCAACTCGGAGTAAAAGTGGCACTCTTTCAGCCAACAGCGTCAACAATACAGAAAAGACTCGCGTCTCTCCGATATATTTCACAAAATTTTCGGAAGGAAACAGCTACGTATGTGTGTGTGTGTGTCGCTTAAAAATAACGACTGTTAATATCGGCCAGCTGTACATTTTCACCAGACCAATTGCATCAGTCAGTATCCCGTTTTCAGAATTTTCTTCTTCTTTTCAACTCGGCGACGCGCGTCTGTTAATTGAAATCCTCGTGTCTCGTTTTTTCCCGCGCCACGGTCGGTCGGTGTCGCCCGTGTTCCAGATGAGAAATTCGACGCCCCGTACTCGCGAGTTTAATGCGGTAATGATTCGCGTAAATACGAGATTGCAAGGCACCGATGCGTCTGTGGGTGGCAGTCGGCGCCGCGTATTTCGCTGGCAACGACGACGACGTCAACGATGACGAGGAACTGGCGTCAAAGATGGATGAGGATGGGAAGGGGGGGAGGGGGCGAAAAGGTGGAATTAGCGCTCGCGCGAGTATAATTGGCCGTTCGCGTTTGCAATAAGTAATCGCTCGGGGCTCCTTCGTAGACCTTCTGTCACGTAAATTGAAACACTCTGGCTCGACGGCTCGCGGTAGCTACTTTTCGAACTTGCCTCTGTGCTTTTCAACTGTTCTTCCTTTCGAAAGACCCTCAACGCTTCAGATGAAACCAGAAACGTTCCCTTTATGTTGTAAATTGCGCTTACATCCTCCGCGCGAATTTTTTTTTTTTTTATTAATTCTCGAGACTGTGAATAGCATTCTGATGGAAATAGCAGACGTTTGTATACACTGTTCGAGAAAAGTTAAAATGAGAAGAAGTAAAAATATAGAGTATGAAAAATTGTAAAAACATGCGAAATTTTTGTTTGGACAAAAATTGATTTTCAAACATTTCGTCTGAGAAGAATTTCATCTTCTGTTATCGCAAATGAATTATTCTGTAATTAAATTTATGTTTTAGTGCAGAAATGAAGATTACACGAACCATTCCTATATAAAGATCGAAAGAATAAAGGAGTTTGACACAGCGCTATAAAAGTCTGTGACATAACGATATGATCGAATCATTAGTCACGAAAGACGAGTCGCAAATAACGTAAATACCTTCAATAATATGTCTGAAAATAAACCAAATTGTCATGGACGCCTAAGCGTACTAACTGCACTTTAAACTTTCGGTTGGTATTGTACGCAATCGAAAAACTGGACACCGTTTGCAAAGAGGGCAGCTCGATCTGTTGAAGTGTTCAGCCTGTTTGCGAATAACAGGTTTACGATCGAGGTGGCAGACTGGTGGAATTCGCGTGATCGTTCCACGCAAATTGCAAATGCGTACACGGTTGTTCGTCAATTATAAAAACAGCTTGGAAATCGAGTCGTATCTCGCCGCTCCGCGTGCAACCACGTACCATAGAAATTATAATGGAAAACGAAAGTGTACACGGGACTCGTGGGACCTAAAACCCCGGCAACAATTATCATTACACGCGTAATCAGGATTACATGGTAATCCCCCAGTGTCGTCTCAGCTATTTACATAGATACAATTTTGAAGGGCTTTCCTTTTTCGTTATGTAGAAAAATTGACAGATAAGTTAAAAATTGGTCGCACGATTTCATTTATTACGTTTTGTCGATTATATAAAGATCTTGTACTCTCTTCGCAATACAGTTTATATACCGATTTTTTTTTTTTTTTTTTTTTCTGGAAGAATTAAATATGTAAATGCGATATCATCGTGTCTACAATCGCTGATTGATGATAGCACAAGTAATTTAATTAGATCATTATCCTAATATTCAAGTCTGTAACATTCTTTGCACGAACGTGTAAGTTACGAAGTCCAGCGAATTAAGTCGAATCACGTGGCATAAGCCAGCGTGTTATTCGCGTAAGCAGCAGTTTTAATAACCAGCAGCTGATTTTATAGAGTTCATTTTTATATCACGTCTAGATTATATGTTCTTCGTCGTGTGCCTGAATAATGTCAGTGTCAAGGCCTCTGAATGTCATATCCTCCTGATCATTTACAATCAAGGTGAAAGATATCGATCGTTCGTGGTTAACGAGTTACTTTCCACGTTCCTTTATTTTACAAAAATTTCGTCGAAACTTTTGTAACACAAATACTTCACTTCGATAAGTAAATATTATCAATTGATAAGTAAATAATTTCAGTGTACATTTCCATTTTATTTAACACTTCTCTCGATAATAGTGTGAACGTCGTTCTGGTAATCGAGTAAAACAAAGAACACGATTCCAAGAAACTGAAGATTCATATTCTTAAAAAATTTAACAGCGAATATTTAAGAGTATATATACTCAAGACAAGAATAAAAATATCGTCCCTTCTTGGTACCATTGGAACGTGAATTTGTACAAGAATCTGAATAATATTAGTGAAATTATAATTTGATTACATCCAGAATTTCTGATTTAATCTTGGCGGTAATTTTTCTCTACGTTTGTTACCTTAAAAACGATACGTAATTAATTGATTGTGCTTTTTATGGTCCTCGTTAGATCGATCGGGTTGGCAAGAAAGAATAGAACGTCTTTCAATGGATAGTCAGGATAAAAACACCTCGGATGTCGGACAACCTGTGCAAATTGTACTTGCTCATCCGGACCACAGTTTCGAGTTAAACGAAGAAGCGTTGTCGAAAATTCTCCTTGAAAATGACATTAAAAACAGGAGCGTAGTTGTCGTATCAGTGGCAGGTGCTTTCAGGAAAGGCAAAAGCTTCCTGCTTGACTTCTTCTTGCGTTATATGAACAGTCAGGTGTGTTATTATACACAGAAATGATACACCGAACTTGATTACGATTAGACTGCAGATATTCTTGCGTTTATGAAAGAGTTTATCATTTGTTTAACTACAATTGTATTCATTGTTTATTTCTACAATTATTTGTACTCGTAAAAATATGAATTTCCATAAATATCCGCAATCTAATCAGAATATTTAATTATTTATTTTGTGTGTGTGTGTGTGTGTGTGTGTGTGTGTGTGTGTGTGTGTGTGTAAAACCAACTAACTAACCGAAATTATTTTTACTTCTTCCATGCTCGCTCGAAACAATCGACATATTATCACAGTACAATAATAATAATCAAACGGATTCCTGGTTGGGCGAAGATAATGAACCACTGAGTGGATTTTCGTGGAAAGGTGGCTCTGAAAGAGACACGACAGGCATATTAATGTGGTCGAAAGTTTTCCGCGGTACTCTACCGGACGGTGAAAAAGTTGCAGTTATCTTAATGGATACACAAGGTGCTTTCGACAGTCAGTCGACGGTGAAGGACTGTGCGACTGTGTTTGCTCTTAGTACAATGTTGTCATCTGTACAAATTTATAATCTGTCACAAAACATCCAAGAGGATGATCTTCAGCACTTGCAGCTTTTCACGGAATATGGTAGGCTCGCCTTACAAAAATCCGGGCGCAAACCATTCCAGAAATTGCAGTTCTTAGTGAGAGATTGGAGTTATCCGTACGAGGCGTCGTACGGCGCAGAAGGTGGGGAAAAGATATTGAACAGAAGATTAGAAATCTCTGATAAACAGCATCCAGAATTGCAAAGTCTAAGGAAGCACATTAAATCTTGCTTCTCGGATATATCTTGTTTCCTTATGCCACATCCGGGTCTCAATATTGCCACCAATCCTCACTTCGATGGCAGATTGTCGGAAATTCAGCCAGAATTTAAAGAACAGCTCAAAGTGCTGATACCGATGTTATTAGCGCCAGAGAATTTGGTTACAAAGAAAATCGATGGCCAACTTGTGAAGGCAAGAGATTTGCTAGAATATTTTAAAAGCTATATGAAAATTTATAAAGGAAACGAGCTTCCAGAACCAAAAAGTATGCTAGTGGTAAGTTCTCGTTCATTACTTATTTAACTTGACATAATTATCGTATCGATGCATTTACACTTATACATTTTATGATATATATACGTTTCAGGCAACAGCAGAGGCAAACAATTTAGCTGCGGTAACAGAAGCTAGAGAATTTTATATACGATTAATGGAAGATGTTTGTGGATCCAAAAAACCGTATTTAACAACAGCGCGTTTAGAAAACGAGCACACGCGTTGTATGGACAAAGCTATGTGCATATTCCAAAATAAAAGGAAAATGGGGGGAGATGCATTTAGTCAAACTTATATGAAAAAATTATGTGAAGTGAGAGTCCATTTGGAATTATACTTATTTATTATCTTTTCTTCGTGCTAAAAACGTTAATACGTGATTTATTACAGGACATGGACAAAGTCTTTGTTCACTTTAAAGCACAAAACGAAAGCAAAAATGTTTTCAAATCAACACGAACCGCAGGAGTATATGGTGCAATTGTTGCTATTATGTATTTTTTATCCTCAGTATTTGGTTTTACTGGTTTATACCTGCTAGCAAATATCTGTAACTTCATCATGTGCATCTGTATATTAACTCTCATGTTATTGGCATATATTAGGTACATAAAAATAATTTACCTAACTTTTCAATTTTGATTTAACTATAACTATCTTTTGTCGATACAGGTACAGTGGTAATTACGATACACTTGGAGTAGTAATAGATGAAGTGGCTAATACATTATGGAATAATGTAAGTAATGTATATTTATCTACGTATAAATCTAAGTATTTAAATTCTTTCCATTTACTACTAGTAACAGATATCCGTAAAATTTCCATAACCATAAAATTAATAAACTTTACTTATTAATAACGCTAATTCTAAACGCGTTAAAATGATGAGAAGTAATTTGCGTACATATAATTAGACATTTTCAATTAGTATCCAATTCTGCATTAATGTACTATGCACACATTTAATCATTCATATCACATAGTTATATCACATGAATAGAAATTTATATAATTTCTTTTTACAGTTTTGCTACTTAAAATATGTATATCAAAAATTTGCGCTATATCTAACAAAAACCCCATGTATTTAAAATATTACGCACGCTAAAAAGATAGGCTTTTCCTTTAACGAAGGTATTGTACTTACGTAGCACGAGGTATTAACTAGGTGATGTAAATAATTGCTGCTCATCATTTCACCGTATTTCCTGACTCATACCTTCCACATATGATTTCTACAGGTCCGAGATAATATGGGCGTACTACTATTCACTGTACTTACACTTGCTGTGGCTGCTGCTTCATCATGGTTTTTAATTTTACGTAATTCCACTTTTCCTTCCCCATCTCCTTTACCCTCTCCCGTTATTCGTTTTAGTTCTGCAAATGTACCTAACTTTTTGGAACATTTATATTCCGCAACAGATGTTGGTTTTTGTACTGTCTCCAAGTTCTTCCACTCTTGTAATTCCGTTTTACATCGCTATTTTCCCATTTTTTCAGAATATTTATATCACCTGACGAACATTACTATTAATAATATTGATAAATTATATGATTCTTGTTTAACCTATTACTCCCCACTTTTTTCGGAATATTTGCATTACCTAACAAATATTACTTTTGACAATACTTCTAAATTGTATAATTATTATCTAGATTATCTATAAATCATTTTATAATATATAGTTAAACTGTTATAGTCATATTTGCACATTTACTACATACATGTATTCATTACTTTCAATATTACATTTTTTACTTGTATAAATACTGCCTTTAATATTATGTTACTATTTTTTTTTCCTCCTTAATGTAAGCTGAATACTAACAGGAGCGATTGTACAAAAGGTATGGGGTTTGTTTATAATTAATATAAAAAAAAAATAATTTTATTCTTTATATTTCAGTTTGAAAAAAGTGGTTATTCTGTCACGCGTAATTTATTTATCAAAGCTATACCATTGTGTAATTAAATAATAATTTTTATCATTAGATGTCATACTAACTATTTTACATTTATATGCTAAAGTATCAGTAATTAGTTTATATTAATTTCACATCAATTTGTATATATTACAAATATATTAAAGAAAATCTATTTTTATTTCTGTTCAGTTAATTAAACCAGTCTATCAACAATTTGTGGAGAAGTCAGTGTCTGTAGCAGTGGCTCAAGCTGCTGAAATGGCTACAAATACAACAATGAATGCCACTGTCACTGCCAATGGCAAGCCTAAACTAACATGATGTTCATTCCCTTTGTGTCCCAAATTCTCAAGTGCATTAGAGATATACATCAATGTATTAAAACCAGTAAGTGACATAACAAAATTTCATTGTTTTGACCATGTAATTTGAGGCCATAAATAGCTTTTTGTTTGTTAAGTCACAAGGAGGAACTGTGCGTTACATATTTTAATTTAAAGTGACTGTGAATGTATATACAATATATATTTTGATTATAATTCCTTACTAGATTGTTGAAAATCATCATTATTAGTATTGTCTATGATGAATATTACATTATTAGAAAAATAAAATTCCATAATTACTGATAAAGATTATAGTTTGGATAGAAGTTATTGTTCTGGGGTTGTTAATGTTTATCACCAATTTTAATTTTTTTTTATATTGAAATATATAGATATATATACATACATACATACATAAAAAAACAAAGTGTAAACAAATTTTTAGAAACAAGTACTTGTACATCATCTTTTTCTTTTTAAAGTACAATATTTAATTTGTATTTAACTATTTAGTTAGGAGCATATATTTAAGCGCATTTCAACATCATAAAAGAGGTATTAAAATATTTTTGAAACAAAATTTTAATAAGACACACTTTGTATATTTATGCATTATTCTATGTATATGAACTAACATACTTAAATTATATTTGTGCCAGATTTATTCTACATCAGTTACTATTGTATTGTTTAATTTTTTTAATAAACTGAAGTGTAAATACCATTTTAATGTTTTTCACATTTAATGGATTTTAAATCAATAATATATTTAATTCCAATGGATTAAATATACTCACACGCTATGTAATTCAGAATTAAGCAGTTTTATCTCAGCTCAGTATCTTAAAGCATAACAACAAATTAGAAAATTCAAAATTTTTTATACTTTAGGCTTGATTCTGTAACATTTCATTGCATGTTTCAATCTGTAGAGATGATCTATACTGTCCCTTATAATTTACGATGAAAAAAGGACAAAAGTTTTATTAATAATCACTTTTATTTAGATAAAAAATGGTTTTATACATTCTATAAATATTTCTTAATACATTTATTAAATATTTAGTGTAATATAACTTGCAAGTTTTAAGAAATTTATTATCACTTTACTATTACATTCTAAAATAACATTTGTAGTTCTATTATTTTCTGAAAATAGCCTTTCAAAAATGAAAATGCAACATAATAAAAGTGCCAATATATACATTTGAAACTAATTTTTTTAGAGGTATGTATTAATGTAGTTTATTATATTCTTATATTTTGTCAAATAATAAGAAAAATTTTATTCTTCTAACAAATACCATATAAGCTACAAAAGAAGTGAAAGACATGTAAGAATAATTAATAATTATAGATATATAAAATTACAAAATTACATATTATAACAAATTTTTGTTGTAATTTTAAAATAATAAACTATTTGTAATATGTAAATTATTGTAGATAAAAATAAATACTTATTTTTTTATTTACAAAATAAGAAATTTTCATTCATTTTTTCCTTATATTGTCAACACCACTTTTCAAGTTTTGAACATCCTTTTTAGCATATTCTCAAATTTCTGATTTGCTTCTTGTAGTTTCACACTATATATTGAAAGTTGTTCTTTTATTGCTTGATTATGTGGTTCTAAATTAGCAGCATTTTTTAGATCTGCAACAGCTTTCTCCACATCTTTCAAATATCCATGTGCCACTCCTCTTCTATATAATGCCTTGACATTGCTAGATTCTTTGTTCAAAATTTTATTACATAAAGATATTGTATGTTCATAATTTTTGCGATTTAATTGACACCCAGCCATATTGTTGTATAGTACAAGTCTCAAGTTGTAAATATTATTTTCTAATGTCTTATCTAATTCTAAATCTTGTATTGGCTCTAACGTTATCAGAATTTTGCAGGCTTTGCTAAATCTATAAAATGCATCTACATATCTGCCTTCCTTAAATAAACCTACACCTGCCTCTTTATATTTCAAGGCTATTGAATATTTCTCTTCTGGTGTCCATTCCCAAATTGGTTTGTATGGTTGTATTTCATTTAATGTTATCTCAAACTTGATAACTAAACTATTATCAATGCCTTCTAACAACACGTCTACTATAACTAAACTCTTCTCTGAAACCATCATCATTTGTATTGCTCGTTCAATTTGACGATCTATTTCGCAATTAGCTTCACCTATAGTTAAAGTATTTTTACTTCTGTTGTTTAAAATTTCCGAGTTAAATTTGCTTTTCAAATCGTGTACAGATGCGTTGGTGACATTTATGTTTTCAATAATAACTTCACAAGTAGTGCATTCAGTCGGTTTTTTACAGAAAGTGCCAGGCTTTATTATATCTTTCCTCACAATATTATCTGCCGATTTCCATGTTTGAAGTAACATTTTGCCTAATGAATTTTATTGCGACTTTTACCTATGGAGAGTAACATAAATTTTAAATGTCATTTAATGTCATTAACATCAATTTATTAAATTACATATATATATAAATTATCTACATAATATATATATCGTAATATAATATATAATATATATATCGTAATATCGTAATATACATTAACAAATATACGTACTTTTTGATATGTAATGTACTGTTATATATGGAATAAATAACGAAACGTTTCATCTAACCTTTACGACCATGTAAGACGCATAGTTTTAAAATCTAGTTATAATGCGCAGCCGCAGAAATTCATGTTTGTGTAAATCTCAAATAAAATTGAGAATGAAAGAAATATTATTAAATACTTGATTAACAATGATATTAAAAATGATAATATAGTTAATAATAGATAATATAATTTAGGTTAGTATTATATAAAATACCCATATGAAAATTTAACATTTTACAAAAGCAAAATTAAAACTATTTTTAGATAATTCTATGAATATTTTTATATAAACGAATATCATTTATAGAAAAAAAGAAAATAATCTTAGCTATATCAGTTTTATTTAAATTACTTATATTTACATCAGTTTATACATAATTCAATTTAGTCCATTTCTCACTAACTGCCCATAGCCATTTTGCAATTTTATCATTCTTTGCTTCATCTGAAACTTCTGCTATTTTGTTATCACTAAAATCAAAATAAATACTGATAATTATATTCTATTATGTATACATACATATTTATTTAGCTTTAACCCTCCACTAGCATTATAGTTCATTGATCCAAGCAAAAATTTAATTCTTCAGTTTTTCAAATCTTTTCCATCAAATTTTTATTTTTATTGCAAAAGTTGTCAAATTAGAAACTATAATAAATACCTCAGAATTTTTTCAGATTTTTTTTAATGCCCAAAACAACGAATATGTTGAAATGCAGGAAAATGAAAGATTCATAATGCCAATTGTATTAGTGAAGAACCATATTGACAGTTTAGAGGTTTAAATTTCTAGTAAATTATTAATATTTTAAATTAATAAGGTCTATATATATAATAAGGTCTGCTGAATCTTACACAAAATATTCGCCAGTCACATTATCCAAAGATGGATCTAATGCAGCAAATAAAACAGGTTGTGCTCCTTTTCTGGGTGTCTTAATAAATATCCAAGTCAATGAATCTACAAGCCATTTACCTAAACGATGTTGATAAATTGCCATATGTCGCATTATTTCTGTTCGTACAATACCAGGATGAACAGCATTTACTGTAACGCCAGTTCCTATATGATATAAAAGAATAATACACTATTTATTAATTGCATTATTTATTCGGAATTAGGGATTACTTTCTATCAAAAAAAATTAAACCTTTTAATTTATTTGCCAATTCTTTTGTAAATAAAATATTAGCTAATTTGCTCTGTGCATATGCTTCACCAGGCTCATAATTTTTGTCACTATTCAAATCGTCTAATTTAATTTTACCACGTTTGTGTGCAATACTTGAAACATTTACAATCCTTGATGGTGTAGAAACTTTTAAAACATCTAACAACAAATTTGTTAGCAAAAAGTGTCCTATATGATTTACACCAAATTGCATTTCAATTCCTTCTTGCGTATAGTTCTTGGGACATCTCATCACTCCTGCATTATTTATGAGAATATGGAGATTTTTATGCTCTACAATTGAAATAAACAATATACATTATACCAGAAATGTAATTAAAATTTTATTTCTAGTAGTAATGCAGAAAAACAGATGAACTGCATATATTTAATATATATTTAACTTCATTCCATGCTTTAACATGTTGGAATATGTTGTATACCTTTCTTAAATTGCTCTACAAAATCCTTAATACTTTTTTGAGATGCTAAATCACATGGTCTACAATAAACATATTTATTTTTGCTTTCCATTACTATATTCAGACGTGTCTAAAAAAAGAAAAAAAGAATAATTAATTTAATATTTTATTATTATTAAATAGTAATATACTAATAGTAATATTAATACACTTTCACACTTTTCCATATCTCTGCAAGCCATTATAACTTTAGCTTCTCGTTTAGCTAAGTCACGAACTACCTCTTTACCAATTCCAGTATTTGCTCCTGTTACAATAACCACTTTGTCAGTCAACTTTTGTTCATTGTCATATAAATCACCACTGAAATAATCTCTGCAAGATAAAAGAAAATGAATAAAATCAATGAAATATTACTTGTGTTTAAATATGACCATTTACACATTGATTTCAATTTTGCTAACAAGCAATGACCAGGAAATGACAATATTATATTAAATTTTTTATTGATATTTTGAAAAATTTTCTTTAGAAAATGGTGAAGACATTACTTAAGTATATAACCTGTACCAATAACAGTTAAACCGGCTGAATATATGTAAAAAGGTTTTGAAACAGCCGCAAACATTCTTGTAAATACAATAAAATTATAACGACAATTGATAATAAATTCTTAAAAATAATGAATGAGCGTTTAATGGAATATTATATGATATCTTTTTATGTAATACAAATTATACACGTGTATTTTGATGTAAACAGAATTTGATGAAAACTGAATTTATAAGTGTACCATGAAACTATTATACAATAGATTTTCGGTAACATTGGTAAAAATGTAATATTCCATTGTTATATATAACGTTTGTTAATTTTCATATATTATTATTATTATTATTATTATGTTATTTATATTATTTCAATTATATCTAAATTATAATTAATTCGAATTTTTTTTTAATACTATGAAAATCGTAAATATTAGATGATAATTTAAAATTTCGCGAAACTTGCGAAATATTCGCAGAAGGTGAGATATATTTATTGCAAATGTAAAATTATATATTTAATATTGGTCATATGTTAAATGGCAAAACAAATTTTTTACAATCAATCGAATCGAATGTATCAAATTGTCAATCGATATGTGTCAGTGTGTATCGATATGTGTACGTTGTTCCATTTTGTGACGATCTGGTACTGTTGACATTTATTGTTAAATCTCATAATTTGTTATATCTAAACAAATTTTTTATTTTTTATTTTTAAATTATTTTTAAATCAGTTAATTAATATGTCATTACGGAGAAGGTTACTTGCTGTCAGAAATATAAAAACGTTACAAAGAATATTTGTTGACAGAACAATTTTTCAATCCTCACAAAAGGTTTGGAATTATATCTAAGCTCGATTTTATTTACTATATTGTATAACACTTCTAAATTCTATTGCAACCAAAAAAATTTTCTATTTTTAATCAATATTAGTTATAACTTGATAATCTGACTATATTTTCCAAATTGTAAGTTTGTTATTAATGGTGATATTCTATAAATTTTAATGTACTGTACAAAGAAGTCTAATTAATATATATTGTTAGAGAAATAATCAACATACATTAGCAAAGAAATTATGTGCTGGATCATCATTTATGGCCATGGGTATTTGGGGTTTCACGAAAAAGAAAACTGAGAATGAAGCAGTCATAACTACAAAAGAAGTTTTAATAGCAAAAGCTGATGCATTGTACGATCAGGAACAATATCAAGAAATATATGGACTTCTGATAAATTATAAAGTAAGTATATAATTTATATTATTATAATTTTTATGTGTATTTGTACAGAATTAAAAAACTTTTATAGGACAGTGAAGATGTTGAAATTATATGGCGTTTGTGTAGAGCAATGTATAAAATATCTAAGACTAGTAATGAAGTAGATGGAAAGAAGTTAATTTTTGATGCTTGTGATTTAATATTTGAAGCACTTAAAATAAAAGAGGATCATTGGTCGGTACACAAATGGGCATCAATTCTTCTTAATTCTAAGACCTTTTATGAAGGAATAAAAGCTCAAATAAAAGAGTCATATAACATTAAGAAACATATGCTGGTACATTTTTTGATTATATATATAGATATTTGATTCATTAATAGCAAGGAATAATAGAGTATTTAATATTACAGAGAGCAATAGAATTAAATCCAGAGGAACCAACACTTATGTATATGTTAGGCAATTGGTGTTATCAAGTTGCTGATTTAACTTGGTATCAAAGAAAAATTGCGTCAGTGATATTTGGAGAACCGCCTTCATCATCATTTGAGGAAGCTTTGAAATATTTTGAAACTGCAGAAGAAATTGATCCCAATTTTTACAGTCAAAATTTGTTAATGTTGGGGAAGACTTATCTAAAATTAAATCAAAAAGGTCAAGCTTTGAAATACTTAAAAATGACCGTTGAATATCCAGCAAAAAATGAAGATGATCGCGATGCTAAGCAGGAAGCACAAAAATTGTTAAAGAACTTTTGATGGACATTGTATGAATCATAATTATACAATGGATGATTGCACGTAAGGCTTAAATAAGTTTTTAGTTTAAAGGATAAGTTAAAATTAAAATCATTACTTCTGAAGTAGCAATTATTCCTATTTCAAGTAAGATACAATGTAAATTTTACACTAATTAACTATTTTACTTTTATATATACACTGTTACAAAGTTTATATATATATATATAGATACATTTTGCATTACAAAATTGTTTTTTATATATACATATATAAGGTTTTACATATAGATATATCATATATAGATATCGATAACTATGTGAAGGTTTAAGACTGCAATTACGACACATTTTATAAAATAATTTATACATAAATTATAAATAAATTGTACACATATTTTATATATTTTACATAGAAACATGCAAAATATATTCTATGATTCTGTTGTAAAAAATTGCACATATACAGATAATTGCGTGCATAACATACGTGATGGAATTATTAATGCTATTTCCTAATTTAAGTCAGTTAAACAAATTGACAATATAATGTCGGTATATTGTCAATTTAATTAATTAAAATTTTTTTAAAAATAGTTTTAAAGTTGGATTAAGTTATCGTTCAATTTCGGAATCATTATTTCTATCTTCTTCGTTAGTGTTGTAACTATTCTGCCTTATTCCACGCAGCCTATTCCATTCTTCTAAGTAGGTTAATATACGAATATATGCAAGTGTTTCTTGTAGCAGCTCATCACTTACTAGAATTGGTGCTCCTAACATGAGTAACATAATTTTACGATGAATGGTGAAATACGTTGAGTAGTAACCACACGGGCAATCGTAGCGTGCTATTACATGATGCGGTGACATATTATTTATTATATCTTCTAACTGCATTCGTCCAAATATTCTTTTTTCATACGCATGATTTCCGCAGTGATATGGCATTTTCACTAAATTCACAAGATAAACAAGAAATTAAGAAAGAAATATGAACACTTTTCGTTTTGAATGATAGTTGGTTAAAAAATTAAATTCACCGTCTATTTTAAACCAAGTGAAAGTAACGACACTACCAAAAGTACCTTATAATAGTCTTCACTGTGAAGATGATTTTTTGGATAAATAACGTACTTCGATACGATGAATAAATTTCTAGAGCGTAACGTTTTATCTGACTGGAACTGAAAATGTGTGAATAACTAAGCAGTTCGCAGTCTTATATAGTCTGAAGGCAATTTACCTGAACCAAATCTTTTAGGCACAGTTCCGTCTACCTGGACTAAGTACCTAAGTACCTAAACCTCTATTACTTCTTCTGTTTTTCTTGAATGTCGCGCCGATAACGGAGTTATTAACGACGACGGTGCCATTTGTGTATAGTAATTTATGTTTTTGAGATATTTTAATACTCTTTGTATGTCATTTTGAGAAGTCAGGTTTATGTTTGCGTTGATTTCGTATTTCTGTTTTTGGGTTTCTGTGGCGTGGCATTCGTGCAGTATGTGAATTATTGTTAATGGATGGTTATTGCAATGAGTGCAGCTGTGTGGTGTAGTTTTTTTGATTTTGTGTTCATGGGTCAGCTTGGTATGACCGGTTCTTAAGCGTATGATAATCTTAAGCGTTATTCCTTCTTTCCTGTTGTTAAAGTTTGATATTTGCTGGTGAAAGTCTTGAATACTTTTGTGTAGTTGGGTGCGTTTAGTTGTTTTCCATGTATTGTTCCATTCATTTTTTGCTACTTTTTTGCAATGGATTATTTGGTCGTCGCAGGGGATTGGAAGATTGTTGCGATTGTTAGTAAGTGAAGGAACTGTGGCTTCTTTCGCTGCTGCGTCGGCTTTTTCATTTCCTTTTATTCCTTGATGAGCTGAAATCCAGATAACTGTGGCGTTTGTGTTAGGTTGGTTGTGGTTTAGTTCTTGGATGGTGGATATTAGTTGGTTTTCTTGATCATATGATTTCATTAGGGATTTTGTAACGCTCATGGAGTCGGTGTATATGACGATCTGGGGTTCGTTATTTGAGCGTGCATATTTAATGGCTTCCAGGATGGCATAAGTTTCAACTGTGATGATGGATGATAAAGAAGGGAGATTTTGTGTTTTTTTAGCTTTTTCTGTGATAATGGCGTATCCAGCTCCAGTCGTGGGCTCGAGTTACGGTTCTACCATCATCAGATTCCAGGAATTGGATATTCGTAGAGGATTTGGATCCATTTATGCATTTGATTTTTTTCCATACTGCAGATGTTGGTGTTTATGGATTTATTGATGATATGTAGTTTCTCCATGATTGTTTTTTATTTTCTTTAATTATTCTACGGAAGTTGGCGCGTTTCCTTTTGAACTCGGTTAGGTTTTCGTTTGTGGGAAGTTTTTTTGCTCTATTGAAAGCGTGATGACTCTATTGCATGGCGATTTTGCATTCTTCGCTCCATCACGGTACTGGTCTTTTCCTGATTTTTTGCAGTCTGGGAATTCCAAAAGATTTGTCTGCGGCTGAGGTTATGATTTGTTGAAAATTGTTTATTGTTTCGTTGATCCGGGCTGGGTCGAGTTCAGGTTCTGTTTCTTTCTCGGTGAGTTGAAGCATTGATTGAGTTGAACATTATAAGAAACAAGGAGATATATACTATTAAAGAAGATATATAAAATTATATAAATTAGTCCACTTAAGAAAATGAACAATAATTGAGAAGAATATCATTTCAATCTATTCTTAGTCGTCGAATTTTAAAAGTCATTTATTTGCTTTTTTAATTTACGATCTTTAGTAAATAATAATTTATTTCTATTTATCTGTATTTCTATCTGTATATTATCGAAATATTAGAATAGTAGTTGTCTTAAGTGGCAGTTTATACGCACATATTGATAGGGAAATCTTATAATCTACTCGAATACACATACATACATGTCTATATTCAAACGAATAATATAAAAACTTTATACAGACTATATATTAATAAAGATGATTGAATGATGTATCAAATATGTTTTTATTATTTTTTATGCATTAATTACAGTTGCTGTATCGAATACAGTGGAAATATATTAACCGATATAATTATTTGAATTGCTCTAGAAATTAAATTGTAAATATTGGTTTCAAATTTCGAATTTTTTATTATCAAGGAGCAGTATGAAGTTAATATTAATAATAAAGAAAATAATAATAATACCATTATACTGTTCATATTATATACTATTATACAGAGTACGCCAATAATACGTGTTCTCTCATGAAAAAATAAAAAAATGTAAGATATGGAACAAAAATTTTTCATTTGAAGCTCACTTGTTAATCGAGAAAGTTGAATTTGAAAATTTACTTATTATAGAATATCTATGAGACTTTCAAAAACTTTAAATTCATAAAATAAAATTCACATTATATACAAACACGATAAACAATATCTATTGGATAATTAAAGCCTTAAATGAAAAAATTTTATTCTGTTCATGAGAAATCGCTCCATGCCCTTTTATGTATTATCCGGTATTTAGCTAGTTATGTCGAAAAATTATTAATTTTATGAGATATTTTAATCTTAATTCTACATTGTCCATTGTATGAAAGACGAAGAAAGACGGGGACAATACTTTTGTGCTCATACTTTTCTTTTCTTTCGTAAATTCTTACAGATTTTATAAAATTAAAGTTAAAATATCTCCTAAATTAATAACTTTTTTTTATAGAGAATATCAAGCTACATAAATTAACGGATCAAAAATATATCACACGTTTAAAAAAAGTGGAGGTGACAATTTACACTAGATTATAATCCCATTGAAACCATTCATTTCTCATATATTTTTGTACGACGGACAATTTGCATTTTTGTAGTAATTTGCATTTCTGATCAAGATTTGACACTCTGTATACATTACATATATAATTCAAAGGCAGTTATAGTTTGTTTTCCTACTACAGGCAATAACGGCTGGAGTGATTGTCAACAGAAATCAAAACGATAATATTATTAAATGTTACTGGATAATCTTAATATTCATTTAAATGTTTTATTATGTGGTTGTGTTTAAGCATTTGAAAAATAATGTCAGAATGATTAAGAAATAATTAATTAATGTAATTATTGAATTTTGACATGCGGATGACTGCATTCCTGTGTCAGAAAATTTCTAATTTGTAACGCTGGGACGGCGGTATGATCCTCGTTAGATTCAATGATTTCTCCCTCTTTATCGTTGTTTACTTCCAAACATTTATAATCGTTTCAATAATTCTCTAGTGTTCATAGAGCGTCCGCTTTGGAATTTTCGCTTATTTTTAAATTAACTTTCGTTTGTGTTTGTTGTGTATTACAAATTCTGTAGTAAGTACACTATTCTACGTTAATGTATATTTTTCTCCTTACGTTAACATATAATTTCCTTTTTTACTGTCTCGCGCATAATTTCCATGGATATAATAATTTAAAAAAATTTCTTTTTAGGCATTTTTTGCACAGATATATTCATAGAAATGAGTAAACGAGAAGGTAAGAAATCGCAAAATTAAAAATTCTTTTTTCACATTACTTTTTTTTTTTTTGTTTTTTTTTCCACAGGGTTAAAACGAAAAATAAAAGACGACTCATCTGGATCTAGTGACGTTTCAAGTAATTCTTCTATTTGAAATATTTTGAAATTAAATTACTTTCTTAGGAAAGTTCAATGTTTTCCGACTGGAAGAAATGATAAATGAGTCAGAATCAAATCGTAGATCAACAAATTCCGGTTGTTTCCTGAGAAAGTTGACGAGTTTCTTGAGAATTTTAGTTGGAAACGATTTCGTAAACATATTTGGACTTCCAACGCACGATTTACAACAGTAATGTATTATTTTTTTTTTTTTTTAGGAACGGTCGATCCAGTTCCCAAAAAAGAAAAAGTAGACATTGAAACTGAATCTTCGGAAACGACATCGGACGTTTCGCAATTAACGAATGTCGCCCTAATACATACGCCATCATATTCGTCGGAATCTTCGCTGCAATCAAGTTCGAGAGACTTGCCACCTGTAGATTTCGATAGTGATTCGGATGAAATTGAATCTGAGAATGGCGCAGAGGAAGAAATCATCCTGCCATTTAAATTCCTTCATATAACCTTCGAAGAGTCAGATGAAGAATTGGAAGAGCCACCGCTTGCTTCGCAAGTAGTTCACGAGTTTACTAATGAAAATCCTGGCCAGGCTCAGTTTCCATTCAAAGGCACGGCAGGTGTGTTCGCACTCGAATATCCAAAAACACCTATTAAATTTTTCCGACTGATTGCAAATGATGCTTTCTTAACGTGCATTATATCGAGAATTAACTTCTTGGGGAATAAACTGAAGACAAGTGCTATTAAAGAAGAGAAAACATCTCGGTTCCACAATTGGCAACCAATTACGCAGAAAGAGTTTGAAAGGTTTCTAGCCATTATCTATCTAATGGGTCAAATTAAGGCTACTGAATTATCTTGGTACTGGAGGAAGTCCCGAATTTATCAGTGTCCCATCTTTGTCACTGTCATGCCTAAAAGTAGATTTCTGGAGATTCTACACGTATTCCACATCGATTGTAAGTTGGAAGAAGACCAGGATATAGATGAACCTTCGGACCAAATGAATCCTCTTGACATTTTTAATAATAATATGAAAGAAATTTATTATCCAACAAAGGGTCTTACTATTGACGAGTCTGTTATATCGTTCCGATCACAACTTTATTTTCGTCAAAATGCTGCCAGTAAAAAGTGTAAATATGGATTGAAAATATATACGTTAACTGAGCCGATTGGACCGGTATTGAGAATACACACACATTTGCATACAAAAGGCAAGGATAAAATCAATACCGATCAGATTATCCATAAACTTGTTTCCGATTTTGAAGGACGAGGGCATGTTATTTATTTGGATGAGACCTTTGCCAATTACACCCTTGTGAAGAGTTTATTAGAAAAAAAGACATACGCACTAGGAGTACTCAAAAAATCTGGGCTCGATAAACCCGCTGATGTTGTAAATGCTGTTTTGAATACGGGTCAGGTTTTTCAACAGTTCTCCCCTGAAGGCATTTGTCTGATGAAATACAAACACACCGAGAAGGATAGTGTTATCATGATTTCTTCCGAACGACCGGCGACTATGGCGTCAGTGATAATGAAAGGGAAAATGATAGAAAAACCACGAATATTTCTCGATTATAATACAGTAATGGATAGTGCTGAAAGAACTGATGAATTTTTTATGTTTTATCCGTGTGACCTAATAAAGGGACTCCTATTGACAACCAAATTTGCAATCCATATGTTTCAAATAATTCTGTACAATAGTTATCTCTTGTGTTGTCGTTATTATAAAGTGAAATTTTCAAAATTCAGAGACAGCACGATTAAAGCGTTGTTACGTTCTACAGTATCATTAGACCTTGAAACATCATTAAAGCGTGAACTGCAAAGGAATCGAATACATGTGCCAGTAATCGTTGAAGAAGACGAGAAAAAATTTTGCATCGTTTGTCAGAACGAAGGTCAACAGAGAAAAGAAACGAAATTAAAGTGTTCTAATTGTTCGGGTAAACCAGGATTGTGTGTGGACCAATGTTTCAGAAGGTACCATAACTATTATTAGACGCGTAAACAAGTCTTAAAGAAATTCGAAATTCTTTTTTAAAAATATTTTTATTTTCTTTTATATATAATAGTAATAATAATCTTGTGATTGTAAATTATTGTAAATAAATGATTATTCCAGCAGATGTTCGTATCTTTAACAGTCTACCACTTTTAGCGAAAAGGAAATTATTATGTAGATTGTGTTTAACCAATTTAGATAGAGCGACGAATATTTATTCTCTATTTTTATCTCTTATATCATTTTCTAATATGTATAGATTCAAAGGTTGTTCAATGATCGATTTATCGAAATTACCTTAATCACCGAGACATTTCCATCCAATATTATCAGACTGATTCATTCAATCTTTCTTAATATTTCAAAATGGTAACTCAAGTTCTTCCAATATCTCAAAGCTACCTTTCATGAAATATTCGACAATTTGCATTTCGTCCATCTGTCGCGTTTTATCGTTTCGTATCATGAACATACAAACTAAATATCGACATGTCCCTTACGTTGTCTAACGTCGTTTCTACAATTACATATTATCGACTATCGTGTTAAATAACAAGAGCTTTACAAAACTTACGAAAATTTTGCTGTTCGTTCTTCGCATTTCATCGCATAATATCATGAATATACAGACTAAATATCGATATACCGTTTCTTCATATCGTCTCTACAATTACACAGTATCAGCCATCACGATGGCGTATCTATCATTATCGTACGTATATAAATCGATTGAGTTAAGCAAAAAAAGGAACGCTCTGTCAATTATATCATTATTAGAGAGGCATTATGTCGAGGCCGATGTTTCGGATCGTTTCTGACAGAGCGCGACAGAGCTCGCGACAGATCTCGTCAGTGGAGAAATTCTCTTCATAAATTGTTATAACGTCTATCATGTATATTTACATGTCCAAGATTGCAAATACGTTCGAATGTTTATTTGCACGTGTACTCCTCGGTACGTTCAGTGCACGTTTCACAATGCACGCGGCAACACCAGTGAAATTTGCATCTGCACTGCCACGTTCTCGTGAATTGGTGCGTGTTGTAGCCACGTCCACAGCACATTAGGTCGCATCCGTCCGTACCTGAAAAATCAACCAATTTCGAGGAGCGACAATTTTACTTTTTACTCTCTTCGAAAATAATTGAAAAATTGCAAGCTAGACAGAAAATTCATACTTTGAATATTCTATACTTTTCGAGTGTGAAAAATTCGCAGTTTAATGACTATTTTTATGACCCGAAGGAGTGAGTCTTTCAAAAGTATAATCCGATTGAAGTAATCCATCAACGTCAGAATGAACAATGTATGAGACAATGTTGGATACGACACAGCGTATAATAATTTACCTTTGCTAGTACGATTACAATATCTGCCTTGAGTTCCCAGGCTACCTTGGGATAAGTCTGGCTCGCAGTAATTTGGGGATGGTTGCAGAAAGACCAATTCGCTTCTCTTTGGAATCCTCTTCTGTCCCACGCTCAATCCACCGTTCGATTTAGTCCTCTTCAATACTAAATGTGGCCTCCTCGGTCTCGTGGCTTTCTTCGGTGGTTGCCGGTCGTGTCGGGACTTTCCAACGTCGTTCGGTTTCCCCTGAGTTTTCGCATCGTTCCCCAAAATCGGCACTATTTCCGCCGACGTTGAATGCAACGCGTCTAAACTCTACGAGAAATATAAATTGTCATCTGTGAGTTTTCACTTTTCGCGCAGTCTCAACTCTTTCGTACAGTTAGAATCTATCTGATACAGATCGTTTCTAGTTTATAGTATTTATTGCATTTCGTTGTTCGTTTTCTTACATCTTTGTTTCTACAGTTTTTGGAAACCAGTTGGAAAAATTCTACCTGACCTGTGTAATAATATGACAAAATCTTTGGCGATATTGGAAATTTGAAAAATGATTATTTACATGACGCATCATCTTATTCGACTCGAGAACAAGTAGATAATTTTTCTCTAAATTATTTGATTATTTAATTTACTTCAAATAAATAATTTCTTATTTCATTTTATATCTGTTCTTTTTTTCAAATCATTTTTCAAATGGTTTCTAATTGTATAAACCTCATCTTCTGTAGAGATTATTAATTGGTTATTTTAATTAAAGATTATTTGCAAATGATCTATCTGATTTTAGATCCAGGAGAAGTTACTTTTCGTATATTAATTTATCTTTCAAGTGAAAACAAGAAATGAGTGGAAATGATTCGTTACTTCAAATCGTTATATTTTATCTTTGTTCCAGATAAAATTGCCGAAACCTGCAGGGGAAAAAAAATTCTCTTTTCGGAGTACAATTTCTAATTTCGAAAAATTTCACTGTGAAAAGACGGCGAGGTTACTGATCGATCGTACAAAAAAACATTCATACCGATCGAGACTCAATAGATCGATAAGACGCAAATTTGAAAGTCAAAGTTAAAATCGTGAGTAGTGAAATTATCCTTAACAAACTGCTCTCTGTAACTTTGCAGAGAATTTTCATTTCTGCCAGACGTTCTGTTACCACTTACTTACAGTGGGGAGTAAAATTGAACCAGTGAACGTGTTTTTGTAGAAAATATTAATTTATTTACATATTCTAATAAGGAACGAAAGGAACTTGTTACACATAATAATTAACACTTGCTTTACTATAACAAACGTATAACAATTCTACAACATTTTCTTTAATTTAGCAGTAACATAATTTTTGTTGCGACTCAATTATGCACCACCCAAAAAATAATAGAGATTCGGAGTTTTATAAATGTTTAATACTTTGTTCATAAGCCTTTTGTACTTAAAACGGCTGCAATTCGTCTAGGCATACTCTCCACTAAATTTTTACATACTCCTAGAGGAATTGCGTACCACTGCTCTTCGATTCTTTCCCCATAATTTGTCGAGAATTCTTGGAGGGGATTCATATTCGTCCCGTAATTGTTTTTTTAGTATTGCCCAGAGATTTTCTATAGGACTCAGTTCTGAACTTTGAGCTAGCCAGTCCAGAACCTGAAATGGTTGCAATTTCAACCATTCTTGCACGCTTTTTGCCATGTGCTTCTCTATCGTGCTGAAACACGATATTTCTTTCATCGATTGGCACACTTTCTATTGTTTCACGTAATTTTATATCCAAAATTTCTTTGTACATATGCTGGTTCATTTTGCCCTTAATGATCCAACACCATACATTGTCAGACATCCGCAGAGCATAACAGATCCACCTCCAAATTTTATAGTTTCATTTACGTGTCGCTTTTGTAGCGATTCACCCTTCCGGATTAATGCCCATTGTCGTCATCAGACAAAAATCAGTTAATTTTAGACTCATCTGGCCATACGACTCGTTCCTAGTCATCTACTGACCAATGTATATTTATATTTTTTCGCAAAAGCTATACGAGCTTTAATGTTTTTCTTGCTTAACTTCGGTTTGTCTTTCTTCTCAATTACTTTAAAATTCATCTCCTTCAGAGACCGTCGTACAGTCCAGCGACTGCAACGTACTCCTGCCCCGTTTTCTAATAATTTCCCTGATTTTGCTATTTTTGAAGACACGAATCGTATGAGACTTCTCTCATCTTGTGCTGATAGTATCTTCAGAAGGTCTACGAATATCGTCACAATATTTTTTTTCTTTGTAGACTGAGCTACTAGACTGAGATACTAGATACGTTTTACATATTTCGCAGGTCGATATATCTTTCTTCAATAAGGGAATAATTGCATCTCGAACGTTTCTCGTTATACGTTTCAGTACGATGAAATATTCAGTTCAGATAAGTTGCTTCCAACGATTTGAAACTGTTGTTGATACGCTTTTATAAGACCATTGTTTATCGAATGATACAATCATCGATCTTCGCGCAGAAGCAAACGTAAAGAATACATAAACAACAAACATTCGGTGCAAAAGATTCGAGTCAGAAATATAAATGAGTAGCTGGGAAACGAAAACGAGTAGAAAAAAATTGTTACTTGCTTAATTGCAGTGAAACAACTGTTAATTTAATGTATGCAACAGATTCTTTTTATTCTCCATTACAATGCATAAATGATTTATTATTACCTGCAACAGTACATACATTGGTTCAATTTTGCTCCTCACTGTGTTTCCACGTATATGCATATCCACAGAACGTAATGTAAAAATGGGCGTATCGCACGTAGCGACGTGATCATTTAGCAATCTCGCACAGGATGATCACACGTTGCTTTGCGGCAACGTCGACCCACTTTTTGCGGGGAATTACCTGCATCGTCGGTGGTGGCGGCGGGGTAATCGCTATCACCGGCCTGGCTCTGTAATACTTTTTCATCAGTGCGTCGCCGATCTGACGAAAACTAGGTAAGGTCCGCCAGCAAGTTCTCACGGTGCACGAGCCGGACACGCCGTGACATTTGCATTCCGTTTGCAGCAGAGCCTTAACTATCTGCAACGAAACAATATTCGTAATAATACGTAACATGCCATTTATAACGGCCTGCATCTCCCTCGTCTTTTATTCGACGAGTTAGCGACCGAATGCAATCAACGTCAGCGTGTAATCGCAAGTCGTTGATGCGAGAATACGAAATGATTCCGAATTGGAGAGACTTTGAATTAATTTTCTTTTTTTCAAATAAATTCCATTAATTAATTTTTTTAAAATTACAATCTGCTGGCAGTTGTAGGTTTGATCATTCTATTATGCATCTTTGTTCTTTGGCAAGAATTTTGAAATTTGTATTTGTGAGGGGAACGTGGATTCCAAAAATTCAAAAATAACAGCTGTTTTTAAAATTTGTATGCATTTCGCAAAGATCGGCCGCTAATTGATTGTTGCGATACACTTTTCTTTGCTTTTGTATTGTTAGGTCACAATACAGTCATTGTCGTAACAAACACATTAAGTTCGAATTCAACGTGCTTACATATTAAAAAAAAAAAGAAAAAAAAAAGTTCAATCGTGCAAAGGCTCAGTGATTAGGAAGGTACACGAATACTCCCTCTCGCACATTTATTAGTTCTAATATTTGCTCTATTATTGCTAAATGTGGTAATAAACTAGTAATTAATAGCTGTTTGATCAAACAAGATCAGAGGATTAAAGTGGACAAAGCTGGAAAAATTTTGCAACTTCACAATAAATTCCGACCATTGCTGTCTGAATTATCATCGTTTCTGAGGGAAGAACAACGAGATTAGAACTCGCTCGATGGAACATTTGACGCATGAGACGTTTCTCCGTCTCCCTGGTTCATTGTGCATGTCCAGAGGTCGATAAGTATGCTCAGAAAACTGGTTTACATTTCGAATTATCGAGCGACCCGCGAGGGGCGGGTGCAGGAGGTGGGTTGAAAAAAATCGTCTGGAGCATAAAGTATGCGGTGCGGCGAGGCGATCGACGTTAAGAATAAATCGTCAGCAGGCGCGCGCGTGCACAGGATCGTACGTGCACGCCAACACGAAATTATGCGCGTTTTTATTGCCGCAGCGATAATAAAGCCGAACGGAGAAGACGAAAACCTTCGTTGGAAAAGGGAAGAAACTTTCCCCAATTATGACGCCCACCATTTACGCGCCCTGCCTGCCACAAGACGCCATCCTTCCGTACTAATTTTTCATTTGCGCTTGCCTCAAAATTAATTTGCCATCTACTCTGGAAAATTAATATTCTCGCCCGAAGGAAACGAAGCGAGCAATAATCTTTTCGAATAGCCATTTCGTTCGAAGAACAGACACGAATTCTTTCACGGCTGAATTCTTTCTTGGACTATGTAAGAAAAAAAAGAAAGAAAGAAAAATAGATATTTTTTGTGAATTAAGATACAGAGTATTCGAATAATATGTAAATAAACGCCGACTTATACAAGCCGCAAGTGGCTGAAAATCTAGCGATTTTCTATGTTAGGCAGAGTGCGGAACATCGCCTAGGATGGGTGACCGTCCAGCCTAGCAAGTAGTTATAACAACAAGCGTCTGGAGTTAGGGATCGTTGCCATAAACCCCACTGATGAGTTTAGGCAGCGACTCTGAGACAAAACGCACAACCTTTCCTTATCTTATCCACTTCCTACATTCGTTCCATCCCGAACATTAACCTTCATCCTCTCACTAATTGTAAATAGAATGTTAAATATGTAGATACCATGGTATTACTAATTTTTAATCCCTTCAAATAGATTTATTAGATTCGGATTGGAAATATTTACAGATTTGTTGTTTTAGTTGAATGATAATATTTTGAAGGCAATATCAGGACTGGAAGATCCTTAACATTGAAGATCACTGGATAAATTTAGTATCTGGCAGAAAAAAAAAAAAAGGATTTCATGTTACAAATAGTGCAAAAGTAAAAAAATTTCATGCCGCTGAAAAGAGAAGGGCGAGATACAATCGAAGTGTTGCAGGTTCTATTATCGATAAAATCAATAATGTCCCTCATTTTCGCAACGGCAACCGTAATTTCCTACGGAAGAATTTCGTGATAGAGAACAGTTGCGTTATTATAAAAGACGGCCGCGTATAAATTCCAGGAATGAAGGCTGCACTTAGCAGTTCTTAGCCGTCATTTGTGCGTTCCCCTATTCTCTTATACCTGTTATTACTAGAGAACCAGTTGGATTATAGGATTGCACAAAAGAGTGAGCCGAACGTTTTACAGAAAATTTCTGAAATAGGGGAAATCTAGTTTGGCCAATTGCACAAAGAAAATAGTTCCTCTGATTTAAAATAAAATTGGAACGCTCTTTTAATAAAGGGTAGTAATCATAATCTCTTTCCATTATGATGTATTTTTCATTATATTTTCAGAGAAGTGATATTTTTAATTAAAATTGTGTGGAAAATATTTCACCAGAAGATATACATATAGATACGCATATAAAAGAAATAGAAGATAAATCTACATAGAAGATAAAAATTTGTTAATTTATTAGAGAGATTTGGAGATTAAATAATCAAGGCCAAGTACGTACATTTAATTTAATAAACACTTCAGGCTAAATTTGATTTGAACGCACGCTGTTTACACAGCCCTACAACGATCAAATCTGTTTACTCTTCTCAGTGACTAAATCTACATTTGAATATTATATTATTTTATAATTATATTGTAGAAAATTTCACATTTTAATTGTTTATATATAAAAAATATAAAAAAATTATTTTTATATTATTGCGAGAGGACTCGCAGAAAACGTGGATTCTAAAAATTCAAAAGCAACAGCTGCTTTTGAAATGACTGTTGCCTCCCCAAGGACGTGGCGGTTGAGCGATACACTTTCTTTGCTGTTATTGTTAAAATAATACAGTCTTGGTCGTAAACGGACGATTGGTAACCTGACAAACACGTTAAGTTCGAATTCAACCTGTTTTTACATCGTACATACTTCGTGTTTCGTTTTACATTATATACATCGGCAAGCCATCTTAAAAAATCTGGGCCGTCACAAAAATCACAAACTGCAGGTTTCACCGCTCCTGGCTGTTTTCGCGCGTTAAAAAAAAAAAAAAAAAAAACGATTTCATCAACTGGCGACTGATATTACTCACCTTTCGTCCTGCCTTATTGTTATGAAGGTTCATCAGGCTCCTCGCGTCACCCTCGACCTCCCTCGCATCCAGAAACCTACGCGCGAACCTAACATTAAATTGTAATATTAAAATGCATGCGTGTATAACAACTGTCGTGACGTACAGCGTCGTCATGGAGGTTCTACACGCACGTGACACGTGCAAAGAGGGACCGGCGACGAATTCATTACGGATCGTCGAATTAATAGCCTTTACCTCATCCCGTAGGTGACGTCCGCGCTGCAACCGCCCCATTCCCAACCGTTTGCCGGCAACTCCTTCCTCGTCCTGCGGAAAAAAAAGAACAGCCAAACTTTGACGAAGAGGCGAACTCGTTAAATCGGAAATAAGATAGGCGCGCGTCGATACATTTCTACGTCATTCTCTGTTGCGTGCAATTTTGCTCACCGGAGGATCGTTACTTGTTGCAAAGTTGCCATAATCACCGCGACGAAAGAATAGATTCGACGAAGAGGAAGGTACTATTTTATCCCCCGTTTTCTAAAAATTTCTTCTTAATAGCAGAAAGATTGAATACGTTGGTACTGATAGAGTTTTTGACGAGAATTGCTTGAAGCAATTCGTTGCTGAATTAAAAAAAAATATATATATATATATCGTTTGTTGGAAATCATCGGGGAATGTTATATTTCACAGGCTAATGAAACGTAGAACTTTTGTTCAATAATTGAAATGAATACGATAATTGAAAAGTGGAATTTTTATTGAATGAAAATTCTACTTTTGATTAATTAATCTCGCGATTTTATAGCTCTCGACAAGATCCACCGATAATCACAGAATCACAATTCCGCGCAACAGAAGAACTAGAACAATGATGGCGAACCTATGAGGCGTCAGACACTGACCCACGCAGCCTTTTTAAATGACCCACGCGTTGATTTTTATAAACTTGTCATCATATATATATAAGGATTTCAATTATTTTTTAAACCCCTCTTTTCAAAAAATGTTAAGAAAATTACAAGTGTTCGGTTAGAGCTTAAAAGTGAGAAATAAATGCATAATTGTGTTTTATGGTGAATTTACGACTTGGTTGTTTGTACATATAGGTATTTTAAGTCTTCAATATTGTACGAGTTACTTATGTCCAAAAAATTTTATATAGCGCTTACGATTAAACAGATGGAATAAACACTAAAAAACACACTAGATCCCATTCTCAGAATGGGTAGCTTTGCTAGATTTTTATATAATAAAAGAGAGAACAGACAATAAAAAATATTAAAAAATAAAGTATATATATCGAATGTATAGTGCAGGGGTGACTGGGCATGATGTCACCCCTTTTATATCAATTTTTCGACGTCGACATTTATTCTTTGCTTTTCACTTGCAAAAGTAAAAGTTGTCAAACAAAAAGGAAACGTGAACTGTTTAAAGGGTTATAAAAGTGAGAACCAAAAAAAAGTAGTTTTTTAACCATCCTCCCCTCCCTTTTCCAAGTGACGCCACTGACTTAGTGACTCGCGAGCTAGTACTAAAACAAATAATGAACAAAATTTGAGCTGCTTCTCAAAAAGGTTCGTCACTGAACTAGAATAATCATCGAATACGCTTTCAAGCGTAGAGAACCCGAAATAACGAGACGATTTCGGATCGAGTTGGAAAAAGTTCAAGAGGGATAGCATTAGAGTTGGGCATTATTCGAATAAAATTTTATTCGTATAACATTTTGAATAAATTCTTCGAATAAAATTTCATTCGAAATATTTACTGAAATAATATAAAGAAAAAGAGTCGGGAGTAGTTTTCTTTTTTCAATTTTGGTTTATTCAATAAATTTGCTTTGCTTTTAACATTTAATAAAGCGGAATTTACTTTACGACCAACATTTACAAACAAATGATAACGTAGAAATTCTTGTACTACAACATTTTACAGATAATAGAAATGATTACACATCTCTGAACGCATATACCGTAATTAAAAATATATTTTTGAAGTATAACACTCCTTCGCCATCTTCTGCTCCAGTAGAACGTTTGGTTTCATTTGCAACGACAACAAACTCGCCTAAAGCAAACAGATTAACTAACAAAATGTTCGAACAAAAAATTGTACTAAAAATTCATTAAATAAACCAAAATTGTGAAGAAAGGATTCCTGACTCTTTTTCTTTATATTATTTCAGTAAATATTTCGAAGAAAATGTTATTCGAATAATCGTGTGCTCGAATAAGCTTTGTTCGAACAAAATTTATTCGTAAATGTCGAATAATTTATTCGAAATTTCATTTGAAATGTTAATCGAATAATGCCCATCTCTGATCCTATCCCCCTTGAACTTTTCCCAACTCGATCCAAGATCGTCGGGCTACCCGCCCAAGCCTTTGTGTAAGCCCGACCCTAATCCGAAATTTCGGGTATCCGCACACACCTAGCGTAGAGTTCATTTTTACGACCGGCGTGAATGAAATGCAAGAGGCAAATACACGAAGTTTACCTAACGGTGGGTTCGCAACCACAGGCGGTGATGTTGCCCCTGCTGCAAGCTGCGGTCACCGCGTACGTCACACCCGCCGAACTTATTGCGTACGTGAAAGCTGCTTCCCTGCTTCCTGAAATAGATCAGTGAGAAAATTTCCTGTTAGATCTTAGCGTCGAAGCTGGTCTGTCCAGTTTGCTGGACAGGTGTTACAGAGGGATTTAAAAGGCTTGGGGCGAGACTAGTCGGGGCAAAGTTTGCGAGAGTTAAGAGAGGCGGCGTCATCCTCGGGGCAATGCAAACGGGGACAGGGATTTTGTGAAAGGAACTGTTGATTGTTTGTTCTGTGCACCTGAATGTTATTTATTGTTTTTGAGTTTACTTATGCCTGCTGTCTAACCGTACTTCGAAATGTCTTCAAATAATAAATGAGATTTCTTCGTCGATACTTCTTTCAGTTTAGATTGAACCTATCGATACAACTGTTCATAATCTTGTAGCAAACGTTTGTTCTACTCTGGGCTTTGAAAATACTCGAAATAATTTTCGGACACGTATATTATACATCATCACGTTATCAGATGTAATTGTCAGATAGTAGAAAATGAGGATAAAAATATGTTCAAAGAATGAATTCATCAATTCAAACTAGTTAATCATTCTGTCTAGAATTCTTAATTTTATTCTTATTATTGTTACAACTCTTTCACGGTTCCTAATAACTTGACCATAAATCTTGCGTGCAAATCCATACTTGTATAAAACCAATCAAAGAGCCAGGATGTAGATGATTTCTTTTGCCTACTATACTCTACGCGTCTACGAATAACTTTCTTAACTACTAAAAAAACTCCAACTGATCTCTCGTATCTCGTCTTTCGTGCTCGCTGGAAGGAATTTCAAATGAATATACACTTTCATTTCATTCGAAAATTATTTCAAATAAATTCCACGTTCCTTCAATCTTCAGAAGATTCCACGGAGAATTTTTCGCTGTGGCGCACGTTTTAATCCACGCCGCACGGCCCGATCTACTTCATTTTCGTCGACAACTATGATACATCAACGAGCGCAAGCCCACACTGTCCCCTGGCGTTTCCGTCACGCTAATTTACAGCTAGGACCGACACACGTAAGGCCGCGTAAAGCGCGAGCACAATTAATTACCCGCGGAGCTCTTTCAGCTCGTTTGCCATACCGAATGAGTTACCGCCGCTTTCTTCTCTCGATGTTCGCCTTCTTTTCCTCCTTTCTCTCTCTCTCTCTCTTTTTTTCATTTTTTTCTTTTTCTTTTTGCCGCAGCTCAGTCCAAACACCTACGCGATACCGTCCCGCGTCCAAGTTGACTTCGCGTTTTCGCCTGGCAGCCATCAACCACGGCCAGCTTTAATTCGAACGTCAGGATCGGCCTTTACACCGACGCCTAATTATCGCGCGCGATAAAACTCGAAGAGCCATCCAATCGTGCCCGCTGGCGACTTTTTACGAAATAGGAAATTTGACAACAGCAATCTTCACGGCGTTTCCCCGATATTTAAATAAATCGCGTCGTTTGATCCCTCGATCAAAATTTCTCACCGTGTCTCTCGGACGATTTTCCAATCATATTCTCAAGTCACAGAGAAACAGAGAGTGCTGGAGAATTGTTTATTTATTCTCACTTCCCTAATACTTCACGAGCTTAAATTTTATAACACGAGAATTTCACAATGTGAAAAACATTTCCTTTCGTTTCTCTCCAGTAATGAAATAAATAATAAGTAAATAATAATTTAATAATTAATACTATAATAATTGATATTAACATTAATATAATTTTATTCAAATTGTATTTAATATTGATATAATAATAATTTGAAATAATAATAATAACTTCTCATTCTCTTAATATTTAACGAGCTTAAATTTTATAAATTTTCGCAATAGTAAAAAGTTTCCTTTGATTTGCAGTAATGAAATAAATAATAAGTATAATAAGTAAATGATAATTTAATAATTCATATTAATATAATTTTATTCAAATTATATTTAATACTAATATAATAATAATAATAATAAGTTCTCATTCTCTTAATATTTAACGAGCTTAAATTTTATAAATTTTTATAACAGTAAAAAAGTTCCTTTGATTTCCAGTAATGAAATAAATAATAAGTATAATAAGTAAATGATAATTTAATAATTAATATTAATATAATAATAATAATAAATTCTCATTCTCGTAATATTTAACGAGCTTAAATTTTATAAATTTTCGCAATGTTAGAAAAATTCCTTTGAAATAAATATCCAGTAATGAAATAAATAATAAGTATAATAAGTAAATGATAATTTAATAATTAATATTAACATAATTTTATTCAAAATATATTTAATATTAATATAATAATAATAATAAGTTCTCATTCTCTTAATATTTAACGAGCTTAAATTTTATAAATTTTCGCAATGTTAAAAAAATTCCTTTGATATCCAGTAATGAAATAAATAATAAGTATAATAAGTAAATAATAATTTAATAATTAATATTATAATAATATAATTTTATTCAAATTATATTTAATATTAATATAATAATAATTTAAAATAATAATAATAACAAGTAAAAGTAAGTTTCAACGATTTTGCTGCAAATTGTTCATTTATAAATTTCGCCGCGCACCGAGAAATTTCTAAACTCTTCTCCAATTATCCCTTTTGCCATTTACAATCTTCTAAATTACCATCTTGTAAATTTCCACTCGACTGTAAAGCGATTAAAATCCATTAAAATCTTCGTCACAGGATTCAAATGACGGCCTTTTACGACAGTAAAGTGCAAGTCGATCGTAAAGGAATTTCCCGAAGAAGCGAGAAACATTTCCACCGTTGCGAGTTTCGCAAACGTGCAAGATCCTCGTCTCGTCGTCCTCTCTGTTCGAACTTTCATATATCATTGCGTCGGCAAGACGCGAGATTGAAAAGATCCGGTTGTAATTACGGGCGGATCTTCCTACACGCGGTTGCACGATAACGTTGAGCCGATGTTTGTTATGTTCGCAGAACCATAATTCATAGAGTGAGGATAGAGATACAGCGCGACACGATTTTTGTCACTGTTGATCGGCGATTATTTTGTACGCCAAGTCCTTTCTCTTACGTTTCACGATTAGAATTATTCAGTTCTTTCATATCAAGGTAATTGCAAGGCTAATATTCGACAGGTGTTGCTTATCCAAAGGGATCTTCTTTACGACTTTAATTTCCAAGGACACGTTTTAAGAATATTATTATCAATACGATCTTAGGATTTATTTTAAGGAGAGGCTAAGATTTCTCTAGGTAGAGATTTCTTTAGAGTTTTTCAAAGACGAAAGCTCTCCTCACTAAACAATAGTAAATAACAATAGTAATAACAATAGTAAAACGTATTGTACTCCCCAGGTAAACGGCAACGAAAATTTCACTCTTTTGAATTTTTTTCAAGTGAATCTTTATTAATATTTTCATTCCGTCAAATATTTGCTTTAAGTGCAGGAACAATAGATAATACGGCTTTACTTAGTTTGCAAAGTTTAGAGAGTACCTTGTGCCTGAACTTTCGTGTCTTAAAGATTTATAACTGAAAGGTACTGTAATCTGTGTATGTACAGCGTAGAACTACACGGCTACCTTTGGATGTATATTTATGGATAAACTAACATACGCCTCCTTTTATTATCACGTATGCATCTTCCTAGGCATAATTTCAGGCGAGGGAACATCGTGGCGAGTAAATGTGCCATGACAGGGGAGGATGTAAGCGTTGTCAACGAAGCGCATAAAAAGTCTGACGATAGACACATATACGCGAACGTGAAAACATCAATCGAGAACGTATGAATAATTCATGGTTAATAATAATGCAGAAAAATGCTGCCGCGATGATAGATGGGTATATTTTATGCTTTTATGCGAGAACGTTAGAATAAAATCACCTCCGTACTCTCGCTTTGATTTATTCGGATTTTCGATACGATTTGTTCATCTTAAATGTAATATTTAAAGTCGTGGTTACATAGTATCCTATTCATAGCAAACTCTCAAGTTGATTTGCCTAGGATCTGTCATTTCCTTTTTTTTTTTTTTTTTCTATCATCTTCGGTATTTAAAAATTAGAATTTCTAAACTTTAGAAAGCGTCTGTTCTCTATTTTTTTTTTGTTATGTTTCACTTCTCTCGATCCTGGAATTTTTTACAAAACTTCTACAAAAGTCATTCGATCAGCAAAGAAAATTGCTTCGTTATCCCAATCCCATACCAAGACCTACTAGCTTCAACGACCAAAGCGGAAAGAGAAGAATGGACTGAATTGACAGAATTTGGACTATGACAAATAGAACCAAAATACATAGCACACCATTTCTACCAAAAAATACCAAACAACAATATAAGCAGAAAAGAAAGCAAAACCTAAGCAAAACAGAACGACCTTTCTGCAACATCTGCAGCCAACAAATCACCACTCAACACCTGCTACACGAATGCAGAAAATACCGAAAGAAGTAAATACGGATTAAACCAAAACGTCGCTCTAAACTGCCAGAAACAACAAAGAAACGTTATCAACTACCTAAAGGAGACCGAACTACTAGACCAGATACAAAGAGAAAATTCCAGCACGTCGCTAAAGACCTCGTAGTCGATGCGACTCTAAATCCTCATATATAAAAAAAAAAAAAAGAAATTGCTTCCCGCCGATTCTTCCCAATTCTTCAAAATCTCTCCGCAAGTCCTTCAATTCTTAGTCGAAAGTTTTACAAAATCCCTTCAAAAGTCATTCGACCATTCAGCAAAGAAAAATCGGTTTCACACCGATCCTTTCCAGTGTTCGATGTTATTTAAAACGTTCCCTGCTCACAAAAATCAGGGGGATATTTCAAAATGAATACGAAGCGACGAAAGAAAAGAAGCATTTGATTTTTTTTTTTTTAGCAAACGACAATGCTTTTCTGATTTTCAATTAAAAAAAAAAAAAAAAAA